AGGTTACTGCTGAGACCACCAAAAATCAACTAATTATGAGAAGTATTAGTCCTTTGTATAACCAGAAGCTATTTGGGTACAAAGTTTACAAACAGAAAAACCTAGACTTTCCAGGAAAATAAATTGGATGCCCCTTCTGATGAGCCACACAAAAAGAGTAAATGGTCGACCACAATGCATTATTATTACTAATGCTATTACTACTACAACTACTACCTTCTCCTAAGAAGCCATTTGGCATGAATACACTTCCTATTAGATCTTCTGTAAGATTGTATACAATTTGAATGTGATGATTCAAAGTACAGATAATGTCAAAGTAGGGCATGAAAAGAATGTATGCTTCAGAAGAAGGCTTTCAGTTAATAGGTAGGAAGTGTGTTGTGCCACGGCCTCAGAAAGGTATGGTCCTGAACGTATAACAAACATTGGCCCTACAGATATTGCATGTTGCTACAGGCTTGATGGATGCAAGAAGGCATTCCAGAAAAGTACTAATTCTTAAGGATGTATAATTGGAGATAGTCATGAACTGCCAAAAGTGTGTTTGGCTATTTTCCTAAGCCTGATGCTCTAGTCAGGAATGTCCAGGTGAACATGTGAAATTCTGGTGTTCTGGACCTCCCTGCTTGCAGGGAAGAAGAATGAAAATAGTATCTGTAGCTACCTATATATAGTATGTGGGAGCAAGGGACCTCCAACAATTGTCACAGCACCTGGTAGTAGAGTGAACATTTGGGCATCTCAATAAGCTTCACTGAGTGCCTTGTCTTCAATGTCAAGCTACAATAACTTCTAATCATTTTGCTTGTATAGATTTAGTATTTAGGATATGTAGGCATGGACTGCCAAGGCTATGCTATGCTATTTAACACGTAACCCTGCTAATTCAGTTATGAATAGAGCATCAATGTGTCCTGAGATATATGAAACCCCTCACAGAAGAGCACAATGAAGAAATAAATTTAAAAAATATTAATTTTTTTTAAAAAGCAAGTAAATACAGAATCTTGAAAATCGTGATAGGAGTTTCCAATCTAATTCAATAAGCAGGAGCCCCTTGTTTTGAATCTCTTTCCTTAACTTTTTGAAACCTGGACTGGGCTGCCATTTATGAGAATAGCTATTAATTAACTTCTCTCCTGTTTTTTGGTTGTCTACGTCCAACTTTTTTCCTGTTACTTTCCCAGCTGTCCCACAGTCTCCTACAGGTTGCTAGCATTTGTCCTTATTATTCTACTCATCCTCCCATATCCCCCCCCCTCCTCCTCTTCCCTTATATAAGGTTTGAACCAAGCAGGAAAGTTACCTCCCTTGCTCTGAGTTTCTTGTCAATAAAGAAGCTTTGTATCTTCCAAGGTGTGGCTATCCTTTTCTATTTTGTTTTTCTGCCCAGATCAAAGGAAATGGCTGAAGAGTGGGAGAAGAAGACTAACATTTGACATCTTATTAGAAAGCCTTGAATAACATCTGCGAGGGATGGGTTTAAGGGAGTGGGGGAGGAATGAAGGGAAAAAAAATATACTGTAGGGTAGGTACAAATAAGAGAGAAGAGGTGGGATAACAAATGGAAGTGAAATAATAAAAAGGGTGCTATCAATTAGAAGAAAACAGGAAATGTGGACAGTGTGTGGATGTTACACATTTCTTAATGCTCAGAGCAATTTTATAGCTTCCACCCCCCCACACACACACACACTAGTGCAAGCCTGACCAAAAGGGAAGGGATGATTTACCTCATGAAGCTTTGTCAGTATTCCAAGGAACATAGGAGGGTGGAGGTGAGCAGGGCAGAAGGATGGGTTGGATTCTGGATTCTACAAACAGTAGCACTCTTCCTGATTAGTCTAATTATCTGGGACAGGGACCAAAAATAGTTAACCTGGCTGGATGTGTTGTGTCAGTTGAACCCATGTTTTCACTGGTCATAATGGAACATAACTGTTCACCAAGTACACTAAAGTTAAATCCAGTCAAAACACATTATGGAAGCCACTGTAGCACAGTGTTTAGAATGCAGTATTGCAAGCTAACTCTGCCCATAACCAAGAGTTGATCCTGACTGGCTCAAGGTTGACTCAGCCTTCTGAAGTCAGTAAAATGAGGACTGAGATTGTTGGGGATAATATGGTGACATTTGTAAACCACTCAGAGAGTACTGTAAAGCACCATGGAGAGATTTATAAGTCTAAGTGTTATTGCTATTTCTGCTGCTATTATAACTTGGCATACTATGTGAATTCATTCTGATGCTTTTGTTTAATCATGGTCTTCTATCTTGAATATATATATTTCTCCTGTTAATGTTCAACACTCTAAATTTAAAAATAAATTCTATGCTGGGTATGTTATCTGTGCAACAGGAAAATAAACTAAACAATGAAGTCTAACACAAATGAACTGCATTATATTATATATACCTACTATGTGGCAAGAAGCAAGAAGCAGTATGTTTGACTTGAAAGGTAGCCTCTCATCCCTAGTTTGCCTGGAATAATGTAAGCATGTTTCAGGTATAATGAACTGTACAAATAAGCTGATAACCTAATTTAAAATTCTATCTATATTACTACAAAGTGTTATGTGAAAGATTGAATTGACCAAGCTATGATGGGCAGTGTAAACCAGTATCAGTAATGGTTATGGCATATGGAAGAATATGGCTTAATATTAAAGAACATAAATTAACAAATGAAACAAGAGAAAAAAATAAATGTTATGTGAGATGAAGAGAAACGATATAATCAATTTGAAGGAAGATGGTCTGATCTTGTGGAGTGAGTTGATGAATGCATGCAATGAAGATATAAATTATGAATGAAAGGCTTAAAAAGATGTTATTTGGATATGGTCTGCTTACAGAATAGCTATCCAGCTTTTCGGATATGCATGATGTCGATGTATGTCTAGTGGTTAAGGTGCCAGGCTAGAAACCAGAAAACTGAGTTCTAGTCCTGCCTTGGGCATGAAAGCCAACTGGGTGACTTTGGGCCAGTCATGCTCTCCCAATTCAAGTCATCTCACTGGTTTGTTGTTGTGGGGAAAATAGGAGGAGGAAGGAGTATTATGTATGTTTGCTACCTTGAGTTGTTTATAAAAATAATAAAGGTGGGATTAAAAACAAACAAACAAATGAGGACAATTCATTTTGTTAGCTGCTCCTTTAACCACAGAAATGGCTGGTGATAGAATAATTTAAAACAACTACAGGTCCCTGCTGAAGTTGCCTTAATATTACTACTACACCATCAGGTTTTCAAAGACCCTTCTCTGACTACTCCAGTTTTCACAATTGAAGTGGATGGAAATCTATCATGATGAACCCGTAACAATCCTTACAAGGAAAGTTTCTGGAGCACTAAAGATTAAGTCTATCTAAAACAGCAATGAAGAATAATGTAACAATTTTCAGAGGTATCCTGGGTTGGTCTGTTGCAATCCTACAAATTGGCCTAAAGTGCATACATTTTGTTGTAAAAAATCACATTACTGTACTACATATTTTCTAAATGTACTGTCCCAATAAATCTATAGTATTCAACTCACATTCCTAGTTTGCCAGAATAATTTTTAAACGGCTTTTATTTATTGATTGATTGGACTTGATTTTAGCGCTGCCTGACACCAGAACAACCCTGGGCATCTATTAAATTTCTATGCTGCCCATCTCACCTAAGTAACTCTAGGCAGTTTACAACATCTTATAAATGCATGAAAAAGCATAAATTCAAAGCAGACTTAAAAACAGGTTAAATTTACAAGTATAAATAAAAAACAAGTTAAAATTCAAAAGGATAGGAGATTAGCAAGATTAATATAAGCAGAATACAGTAAGGGACTGAACTTGAGATATCATATCAATCTAATCAGATAACCCAAGCAGAGACTTCTTGATCAAACAGCACTTTATTTGATCAAATTAAGCAGCTGGGTGGCAAACAATTTGGAACGCTGGCAGAGTTACATCCAGAAGTACCACACCTTAGAAAGTTAGTAGCATTGCTTTATAAACTTTGTTAGCCAATGAAAATCAGACAACAGAGCCATTAGATCATAAGGAAGACATCAATCATTCCTGTACACTCCCTTATTCCCTCCTTCACTTCATTGCATCCATGTACATGTTTCTTACGCTTGCATGAGATTTCCCTGGTGCAAAAACCGATTACAAAAAGCAAGAAAGCAACAGTTAAACTAAACAATTTCGCTTTGCTCCAGAACTCTTCAATACAAATATATCAAAAATAAAGAATTTAAAAAATGTAATAAGGAACATAACATCAATAGAAAAAACAAAAAAAACATCAACACAAAAACAAAACTTATCAGTCATCTTTAACAAGGGGGGGGGTGTTGTTCCATCCACCCCATCTCAAAGCCTGGGAGAACAATGCTTGTACAGCCATGAACACCATTAGGATGGGAACTGTGTAAAGGGGCGGCGGGGGGGGGGGGCTTTAGAGAAGAAGTTAAAATTAAACATAGTAAATCATTTGGGAAACCCAGGATTTTTATATTGCCGGACTTTTGCTTCACAGACTTAAGTATTACAAATTCCACATTTTCTACTTGAAATGCAACATAAATTAAGAAAACATCTATAGAGATTTCAATCATCCAGGTCATAGTTGTCCCAAAGGTGCTGTTCAAAATGCAACTGGACTTTCTTGGGTTTTTTTTGTTTGTTTGTTTTCCTTGAAAACGTTTCTCTTCTCATCCAAGAAGTTTCTTCAGTTCTAGGCAGAAGTGAAAAAAACTTTTGGATGAGAAGCGAAATGTTTTTTAAAAAAAAAAAAACCGAAGAAATAAAAAAAGAATTTCCAGTTGTATTTTGAACAGCACCTTTGGGGAAAATAAGAAAAGGAAGCAAGTTAAAAAACAAGTTTTATTTATTTATTTGCTAAGCGCGTTGTCGTATAAAATCTCTGTGCTAACATTATTTTCTTTTTCCTGTTCTCCAGGAAGAGCTAAGCTCCTGTTTTCATCGGAGAGAACACTTTAAAAAGCCGCAAGATTTACCCGGAAGTTATAAACTAGGAACACGTCTTATTTTTTTCCATTTTATCTATTCTGCGCTGCCGACTCCGCCACTGCTATACAGCAGTCACGTTCCCACGCCGATCAACTTTTCGGTTGGGTGCTCGGGTAGAAAACCGGTTGGCTTCAGACCGGAAGTGCATGGAATGGTGCATGCTTTGCGCCTTTCTCTATGGCGGAATAAAGTCTCCTTCGTTTCTTCCCTAGATTTTACTCCGCTGCCTTTCCATGGCGGCGGCAGCGGCGGTGCTTCGGAGCCTGGACGAGCCCGTTCCCCAGGACCTGCCACCGGCCACGGGGTTACTGGTGGCTCCGGCTAAGGGAGAGTGGGCAACGGCCTGCCCGAGCGGCTTTCTAGTGTTGGCTGTGCGGCCGGCAGGGACTAAGTTGCAGCCGATACTCTTGTGCGCGGCGCTACTAGAGGCAGAAGCCTCTGCTGCGCCGGAACTGTGGCTGAGCCGGGCCTTTCTGAGGCGGCTGGGACTGATCGCGGGCAGGACCGTGAGGGTCTGGCCTGTGCGGAGGCCGCCGCTGCTCGCCTGGGTGTTACTGGGGTCATCCGCGGCGGGAACCGCAGGGCGGACTCCTCGACCGTGGGTCGGCTCAAGCTCTAGCATCCTCGTACGGCGCGGGGAGATCCTGCCTGGCTCGGGACTGCGTATATTGGAGAGTCGACCGGCTCTCCAGGGACTGCTGGGCATTGGCACCCGCTTGGCTGTGACTGAATTGCGAAGCGGCGCTGAGGGCCGGGACCGGAGGGACCTGCGGACGCCTCTGGTTTCCGTGTGGGCACGCGGCGGGGAGCGGCTGGTTAGGGCACAGCGGGGTCACCCTGCGCTGTGGGGAGGAGACCCTGCGGTGGATCACTCTCTCTGGGTGACCCCTGGGTGCTTGCACGGCCTGGGCCTCTTCCAAGGAGAATGGGTGGTAGTGCGGAGGCGCGAGAGAGACTTTCCGGGATGCACGGCGCCCCATTTGGCCTCTGTGCAGGTTCTCAGGCCCCAATGGTATTTCTCGCTTGGAGAAAACGATGATGGGCACCACCAAGCAACAACTGCAGACGCCTTTCCGAACGAGAATGCACTGATTCCTGCCAGTTTGGCTTTCAATCTCTCCTGCGATCCTTTGGAAGGGAGCCTCCTGGAAATACAGGTGGGCCTTGCTGAGGAATAGAATTGCAAATACTTGTTAGTAGGGTGGAGTTGGAGATTTGAACATTTAATTTCTCACAGCAAGTTAGGCAATTGATCTAGCTAGTATAATGGGATTAATTATAGATTTAGAGTAGCATAAATGTCACTGAATTTAGATCAGCTCAATAGATCCCAGCTAGAGACATTTTGGCAGCTTTTTCTCCATTTCCAAAACATGAACAGATTTTTTTGTAATCCAGATTTTCCAAATTTTGAGGTATACTACCCTTGGGATGGCGAAGGCTGAGCCTGGGCAAGATTCAAAGAACTTTGTAGTTTGATTGTTAGAATAAATCCATCTTTCCTAAAGTTTCATTGTATTGTTTTCATTGTTTGATTGTGTTCATTTTAGAGAAGGTGTGTACTTTTAAAGGAGGTATGATGGCAAACAGTTTAGGAAGTTCTGCTCTAGTCATTTTTTTAGGTTAGGTTCTTTCTGGCAACGCACTTCCCAATATAAAAACCACCAGAAAACCTGCTTTAAAAACAAATACAAAAGCTGATGTAGCATTTAACAAGTGTTTTGGAAAGTACCAATCAGGCATTGTATGGACAGATTTTTCTAAGGAAACCAGATGTCTGGCTTCGACTGCAGCTCATGCCAAAAAGATAATGGAATGGCTGCAAGAGAAAGGGCACCGGTCTCAGATAGTAAACAGGGTGGTTGGCAGATGATGGCTTCCTACTGCTTTATTTACAAGCTGAACAGATTTATAAAGCTTTGAAAAACATGGCCCTATTATTTGTAAGTCACAAATTATTGTCTTAAATATACCAAAGCAGATATATAGTTTGTTAGTTGTATTTGCAAATAATGTTATTTTCTTAGAGTGAGTGACTTCATGATGATCAGATGTTATCATGAATCAGTGAGATTTTCCTCCTACTTTGGATACATGGAAATAGTGGGATGGCAGAGATCTATTGAACAGTGTTTTTAATAAACTGTGGGATGGAGGGAAGAGGACATAGGAATCTCTGTCATTGTTGTAGGAGATTCTGTTCTGCTGAATGACCATAGCTTTGGATATAATACAGGTAGTCCTCAACTTACAGAAGTTTATTTAGTTACAGTTCAAAGTTACAGTGGCACTGAAAAAAGTGACTTATGACCTTTTTCACAAGACCTTTGCAGCATCCCCATGGTAATATGATGAAAATTCAGATGCTTGGCCACTGGTTCATATTTATGACGTTTGCAGTGGATCATGTGATCATCTTTTGCAAACTTCTGTCAAGCAAAATCAATGGGGAAGCCAGATTCACTTAATCGTGTCACTAACTTAACTACTGCAGTGATTCACTTAACAATTGTAGCAGGAAAGGTCATAAAATGGGGCAGAATTCACTTAACTGTCTCGCTTAGCAACAGAAATTTTGGACTCATTGTGGTCGTAAGTCAAGGACTAGTTTTATTTTGCTTGCAGCAGGACCAATTTTATTTCTGGTGATATTTTGAAAGCTAAATAATTAACTGCATATTTCATAAACTAGAATTAATTTCATTAGATGTTATCTTACATTTTTAAAATAATTAACTTAGAAATGAAGAGTTGAAAGGGACCATTTAGGATGTTAAATTCTAAGCACTTTATTTTGCAAGGAGGGAGTCATAAATTGCCAGGGCTTAGAAAAATGAAATGCATTAGACAGTTACAATCATTATAATGATTAAATGTAAAAAGAATTGATATTTTTCAGGTTGCTATAAAATAATGTTAATTTAATCTTCTAGCTATTAAGCACATGTAGCATAATTAGAATATAGCTAATTGTCCTCTATAGAGATATGGGGAAGCTGCTGGTGTGCAAGAGACAAAAGGAAGTCGATCTTTGCTATCTGTGCCAGCCATTGCCAAGGAACTACACATAGAAATTGTGGCTTCACCAACTTACAACACCAGAGGAATCTATGATCAAATTCTTTATCAGCACTTTCAAACTCCCAGGTTAGTCTTTTAGTAAAGATAACAAATTGACTTTTGATCCATTTTATGAGATAATCTTACTCTTATTTTTTACCTAATAAGCACACTGAACAGGATATGGTCTTAACTGTACATGTCAGTTATTTTTTTCAGATTTATTTAAGACCACGCTACTATTAAATATTTTTTTCTGTTTTGTGTGCTATATGTGCATGTTCTAAACTATTACCTCATAGAAATTTCTCAAAATTTCTTTCTTTTTCTGCAGCCAATAGTGCTAATTCCAAAGCATTGTTTAGTGTTCTTTTTAGAGACCTGTATTGTAAATTGGATGTAAACTATTGGTCCTAGTTGCTTTTTTCTCTGTTTTTCCTTTGTACCTTGTTAACAACTTGATCTCATTCTGCAGAAGTTTTCCCTTATTGATTATGCTTTTCTATAGCAAATCTTAATCTAATAAAGATAATTCCACATTTGAGAATCACATATTCACTGACCTAGATGTTATTATACTACATATTGTTTTTTCAACAGAAATAGAAATATTTGAATCATTTCTTTTAGTCCACTGCTATATCAAATATATTTTATTTTATCTTGGGCATACCTGAAAAGAAGACTAAGCTTTTCTCATATAGCTTTAAAATGAAATGTCTTAAATTCACTGGGAATACAAAAATGGCAGGTCTTTTGGAAGGGAGGGAGAGAAAGAGTATAATTCTTCATTATAGATATTTTTTTGCAGGCTTGTACAAGAGAATGATATTCTTTGTCTCCCAACTGTTGGACATCCTGAATTCTTAGAAGAAAATTCAGTAAAGTTTATTAGGTATGTTATTGTCAAAAGCTAAATGGGCTACTTACTCTTAATATCTATACTACACTTTGAAATAGTGTTTTGGAAGAACTGACTTAGAATGTTGAAACTTGTTCTGAACTTTGGTATGCTATAGTGATTTTAGGAATTAGATATTCCAAGGTAGAAAATGATAATGGTGGTGGTAAGTGAAATTTGATGACAGTTGCAAAGCTAATAAAAAATTGAGCTCTCACAAAATGTAATTCCAGTTATACTTCTTGCTGATTTTGTAATCAGCAAGAAGAATAACTGGAATAATTAAATGTTGTAAAATGTCAAATATTTGGTTCCAAATTATAACTCATTCGTTCTTTCGTTAGATGGCCAGAGCTGTGGTTCAGGGTAAAAAGGATATTACCAGCAGAGAAAATACAGCAAAGTATAGGGTACTTAGCTGATACTCAGAATACTTCTTTATTCCTGGTAAGTTAGCAAGAATACATAAAATAAAGAGTTTTTGAATGTGTTGTTTGTTATTAATAGATTAGTGTGCTGCTTATACTATGGTGCTCTGAGCTTAATTTGAACATTTATTTGAACCCTGTTCAGTCCTTATATTGGGGTCTGAATTTTGCTCAGTATGGGAAGAAGACTATGCAATATTACATAAAAAAACTCACTTCATCTCTTCCTCTCCATAACGGTTTTAAAATTGCCACTACCGACATACAGCTCCTTGTATACCTTCTTGTATGCCTACAAGAAACATGGACTTGGATAATAAGGTCCCTTATTTTTAGAACATAAAATGATAGTGGATATAAAAACCCGAGACAAATGTAATGCTTATCAGTGGGGTTTCTTTTTACTTCAAAAGTTTCACACATACATACATCTTTTTTTAGCTTCTTGCAAAACTATAGATCATTTCTTTTTCCTTTCTGTTAAAATTTGGTAGGACTGTTAGTATCAAAAGATTCACAAAAATAGTTTCTCTGTTCTTATGAATCTGGTTGAGAAAATGGGTGTTATTACCTTACCTTGTAGGTAGGTTCTACAAACAGTGCTATTCCATCTTTTCCATCTCATAATGGCTGTAGTTTCTGGAGCAGTTTGTCTCCTGCTGGGCTTTGCAGTGCAGTGAAGCAGCTCTGTGACATCCTTGGCCCTCATTTACACAATAGGTAAGTCATCTGGGGATTTGAATTCTATATGTAGTAGTGTAGCATCCCTTCCCCACTTCCCATTGTACTGCCTCATTGTGGTAGGGAATGAAGAACACTAGGAATGTATGCTGGTATATACCTGTAATCTCAGCATGATCAGTCAAGATATGATGGTCATCCAAGATGCCCAGCTAAAGCAAATTGCTAATTGAATAGCAGCCATATAGAAAGATGCTGGAGGTGGATGATCATTTTAGGGACAACAACAAAGACATTATTTCATACTGTATATCTTTTGTAAACTTTAAGGCAGTGTTTGAGACCATTTCAGGATCTTAGTTATGGGACAAACTCCAACAGTCCAATATGGATAGGCACTTGCTGTTACTTATCTACAAACTACACAAACAAACAAATGTTAGAGGTGATATAATACCAAAGGACAGCTAATCAGTCCAATAACTTCAGTGAAAGATATGAGAAAGGTTATATTTTGGCTCCATGTTTACTTAGATTTATATCAATAAGAGACTGTCATATATATGCTTTCAAAGTAGTGGACATCTCATATTTTACTTTATGTGGATGGTGCAGCTATCTTTTATTTATCAAGTCAGACATAGACGAGCCCCTAGTGTATTCAGTAAATTTTGAGTTGAAAAGCAGCTAACTAAACTATTTTTATAGAACAAAAAATAATGGTGTTTTCTAATAACACCCCAAAATATAATTGGTACATAGTTAAGGACCAATAGAGTACATCAGCTATTTCAAGTACCATGGGATATTTTTTCAGGTTTCTAGACAACCAGTAAACATAGTAATGGGTTTGTGATTATAGCTTTTTATTGTTGCCTGTTATGATATTTGAAGATTCTGAATTTCAAAACTTTTTTTTTACTCTCTATGAAGCACAAGGTTCTTTCATTGACATTTATGCAAAGTACTTACGTGTGCCATTTTTAAAATTATAACCCTAAATGTTCAGTATATAAGAAATGCTGTGAAAATATCAAACCTCTTGCCATTGCTTGCTTGTATGTAACTGAGAAAAAAGCTGGATGAATGAAATTTTTCTTTAACTCTTAGAGTCCCTCCATTTGTATGTTCTTGCCGTCTCCCTCTTCTTCTTCCTTTTTGAATTAAAATTATACCATGATTTTTTTAAAAAAATATTTTCTATGTTTCAGAGAAACTCTGCTAAATGCATCTGGAAGTATTCTTCTTTCAGGACCCAGTGGTGTGGGGAAAATTACAGCTGTTAGAGCTGCCTGTAGCCGCCTCAATCTGCATTTCTTCAAGGTAGTTTTTAGAATGTTAAATACCTTCAGAATAAAGTCCTGAAAGAACATTTTTGTACTTTCAAAAAGAAATGTGCTTTTCAGTCCATGAGCACTGAATGAAGAGTGATTTCTCTACAACGTCTCTCCGAGCTGAACACACTTTCTTCAGCTTGCTCTTGCTGGGTATCTTTCAAATGCTGCTGGACTATAGTTTTTGACAACTCTCACCATTGACCATTCTGACCGAGACTGCTAGAAGTTATGATTTGGTAACATCTAGAGGACCAAACATTTCTGATCTCTACTGTAACATAACCTTTCAGTGAAATGCTAATTACATTTGTTTTTTGCCTCTTTCCTCGAAGGAAAATGGTAGAAGTGGTGAAAACAGCTGCAAAGGAATGGGACATTTTTAAACGAATTTCCCTTTCTTTACAGAATCAAAACTGGGAGACGCCACTGAGGCCATTTTTACTTTCTTTTCAAAAGCCTTCACCAAAAGTCCTTAACCAAAAAACTCCCACAAGCAAACAAATAAATCTCAGATCTTGGAGCATCCTTCAAATCTTTTGGATCAAGATATATTTCTTCTCTAATTCATTATGCTGTACAGGTAGTCCTCAACTTACAACCACAATTGAGACGAAACTTTCTATTGCTAAGCAAGACAGTTTTTTTAAAGTGAGTTTTGCCCCATTTTATGACCTTTCTTGGCCTAGTTGTTAAGTGAATCACTATGTTGTTAAGTAATATGGTTATTAAGTAAATCTAGCTTCTCCATTGACATTGCTTGTCAAAAGGTCGCAAAAGATGATCACGTGACCCTGGGACACTGCAACAATCAAATACATGCTAATTGCCAAGTGTCTAGATTTTGATCATGTGACCATGGGAAGCTTCAATAGTTGTAAATATGAAAAATAATCATGTCACTTTTTTCAAAGCCATTGTAATTACGAATGGTCACTAAATGAATGGTTGTAAGTTGAGACTATTGTTTTATAATGTTTTTTGTGCTGCTTTTGAAGAAGGTTTTATTGTTTTATTTTATTCAGCTTATTTAAGATCCTGGTTTTATATTGATAAAAAACACTGCATTCACTGTTATGAAGCCTAAGAATTAAAGGCTACCTTAGGATCTTTTATAACACTGATTTTTTAAGATGGTTAATTCCCTCACAGTAGGGACAGGCATGCTATTTTTGTTCTTATTCCTGCTTACTTTTTGTAAGAATATAGAAAAAAGGGAAGGAGAAAGTTAGGACTGTTATTTCTTGTAGTAGTTATTCAAAAATAAGATTTCAATTGGTGCCACATTGCTTTTTCTTTATTATCACTTGCCACTGCCAGAAAACTCTTCCCACAACTGTTAAAGAAGCAGAATTAGATTACAGAGATGATCGTTGTTCACCATATAAAAAGAAGAGCAGCTTTCTCATGTCTTTCAATTAAGAATGGAAAATTGGAGTAATGGGTTGGAGATTCCGAAGCCCCTTTTGGTTTTTCTTTTGTTTCTGTTGGATTTACATAGTTTTGTAATATATTTTTCATCTTTTATCCTAATAAAGTCATGCCATGGGAAAAATAAGATTAGATAAGTGTTTTTTGCAAATTCAGATTTGCTTAGTCATATACACTCTGAACCTAAACACCCAATCTTCCTGCACTTCAATTGTAAATGTTCTATACAAGCAAGATATTTTTTTCAACTTCACTCTCTGTCACTGCTTGCATGCAAAATTTTACCTTTCTTAATAATGCCCTCCCAAGGTTTTTCCTTCTTTCTATTCCTCCTCTCTTAACTCTTCTCCTTGGCACCCAGTTTTCTTCTCTTTTCTTCTTTATCCAGTTCAGTAACCCTTTCCTGTTGCACATCTGAATCCTTTTCGTTTCCTTCATTTTTGATGAAAACAAAGAATTCATGTGTGCATACTTCTGTACTCTTGTTTATGAGACTACTTTGTACATGAAAATGATTTATATGTTAGCGATGTGCAGAAAACATTTTGATTTAAAGTGTTTCGAGTACAAACATTGCAAGTTTCTGAATTTTTCATTTTTTAAAAAATGTCACTGCTATTCCAAGGATCTTGGATATGCCCCAAGCAGATCTATTTCCAAACTCAAAATGTTTTCAAAATGCCTGAAATAGCAGTCTGCCATGAGATGCGAAGCTTTGTGAAGTTTCAAATTTGAAATTGATATAATTGAATTGTTTTGTATAGCTCCGCTCTATGCAAACGTAGAACCAGTTAATTTTATAAATGAGATTCTTTATTAATGTTACTTGGTAGAATTATCTTATTTTCCATACGTTTTTGTACTGACTGAAACTATTCCACTATTCCACTTTTCTCTTCATTTTTACATGGCATCTTATTTATGTCTGCCATCTGACTTCATGCTAGGTGAATTGTGTTGCTTTGTGTGGTGATACAAGTGGATCTACAGAAGTAAAACTATATAATGCCTTCTCAGAGGCTGAGCTCTATAGTCCTTGTGTCCTGCTGATGAAAGATGTAGAGCTGCTGGGAAGAGATCGTGATGGATTTGGGGAGGACTCCAGGGTCATTCTTGCATTAAGACACCTTATTTTGGAAAGAGAGATAAATACTAGGTAAGTACTATTTCATCTCTGGAAGATTCCCATCATTTTAGTTCTGCTGTGAATTTAACTATTCAGAGTATTGCTGAAAATTGAGATTTTTATTATAGACTAGCCCTCTATTTTGTTAATAACTTTAGCTCTTAATATTCTAATCTTTTAAAAATAGTTGTAATAATGTGATAAAATAAGAATAAAATGAATATCTTATATGTCATTAGTGTAATTTATTTTTGTAAGTAGTGAATAGGAGTGCATATAATCCACTATATGGAAGATATATGATTGTTTTCATATTTCAGAAATCCTAGCAGAAAGCTGTGTGTATTTGGGGCAATTGGATAATAGAATTGTCACCCTTTTTCTCTCTCTTCTAATAAACCCTAAACCAGTGGTGGCAAACCTATGGCAAAGGTGCCAGAGGAGGCACTCAGAGCCCTCTCTGTGGGGACACATGCTGTCACCCAGTCCTAGGCCTTCAGCTGGGTTTTATAAAACCTTTTTGCTTTAGGCCTCCGGCACTGTGTACAAAAAAAAAGGTTCAATCAATCAGTCAATTTCAACTCGCGGGGAAAAAAAAGATCTTGCAAAGTTGGAATTGATTGATTGAACATTTTAGTCTCACCCAGTTTGCCATTACCACTGCAGCCATGCCCACCCAATGGGCCACACCCACCCAGCACCCGACAATGCATAAATGGGTTTTGGGTTGCAGTTTGGGCACTCGGTCTCTAAAAGGTTCGCCATCACTGCCCTAACAATGGTAAACAAAATCTATTAGAACAGTGCTTCTCAACGTTTGTGTGACGGTGACCCCCGTCACACAAACGTGCCGCGCATGCGCGGCGGCGCCCCCCGAGGGGGAAAAATGGCGGATCGCCTTGTTTGGCGACCCCCGAGAAATGGTCGATCGACCCCAAATGGGGTCGCGACCCATAGGTTGAGAACCGCTGTATTAGAAGCTCAATTTTATACTCAACTAAAAATTACAAAGACTGAAAGATTAACTTTGTTTCAGTAAATTGGAAAATGATTCCATTTTTCAAATTGATTCAAAGGCTCCCTGATCAACCTAAGGCCAAATTTAATCCAAATCTCTATACTGTATCTTTGGATTTTTTTGCAATGTGTTAAAATTGAATAACTTTTCAGAATCAGTAGTCCATCTTGGGAAAAATAACAAATTTCAAGTAAGCAAATGATGGTGTTTTGGGCCTAGTCCCTTTAAAACTTTATTTTAAAAAACTTCCTTGGTAATTTCTTTTACTGGAAATTGGATGGGATGTGTAGACTGAATAACTCAAATAGTACTATATCTTCCTGGTTTCAACCTTCATGAGATCTTGGGCAAAACCAGTTTTTCCAGTCTGGAAAATTTAAGAACAAAATAACTTTTGTGTGTGAATGATTTATGTGAAAATGATACATTGCACTGTAACGTTCCTATGTAAGAAACCTGTAAAATTTCAGAAGGAATTCTGAGCTAGAGACATAACAAAATAACAAAAAAATGTAATAGGACAGTGTTGAATTGAACTGAACATATAATTACATCATTTTTATTTTCCCTTCCCTATCTTGGAATTGTTCTTATAAAGAAATTGGAGAGAAATGTATACATTTTTATAAAATACAGTCTAAAGATTTTTTGAATTCTACATTCCCAATATGGTTTCAAGTCGGTTATGATTTAGTCTGATTCCTGTCTCCTCATCTGAATCTAACCTGATTTGATTTGGAATTTGATTTGGATTAAAATAGTAGTATTTCATAATTACAGAAATGATGTCACAAATCATGTAAATTGCAGGGGTGAAGTATAGTAGTCCATGGTGATTCTTTTCTAGCTCCTATACTGTAGTTCTGAAATATTTACAGCACATCTGTATGTTTCTTAACAGTTATCCTGTGCTGGTGGTAGGCACAACAAGCAAACTTGCAGATGTCCCTTCAGATGTGCAAACGGCATTCCTTCATGAGGTGAAAATTGAAGCACCAGCTGAAGAGCAGAGGAAGGCCATTCTTAGCACACTAACACAAAATTTTCCACTGGGCAAAGAAGTAAGCCTGACCAAGCTAGCCCAGCAGAGTGCGGTGAGTGATTTTTAATGCAGTAGTTAGAAGAGACAAAGAAATAGGGGGATATAGATATGGGATCTCAAAATGCCCTTATTCTGATACCTTTCTATAAAATGCTGAAAATAGTCTTCATAGCACTATTCAGATAGCAAAATGAGTACAATGATAGCAACAAATTTAAATAGTTTTACTATAACCATCACACATTATAATATATTTAGTATATTAATAATTATAATTTATTATTATAATGTCTGGTGGTTTAAAATATTCTTCTGTCTATTATATATTTCTGTTTATTTATTGTTGGCTGAAAAAATAATAACATGCATAGTGACATCTTGTTTATTATTTATTTTATAACAAACAAACAACATAAGTATTACCTGTTACTTCATTGATAGGCTCACACAATGTGTTAAGGGAATGGAAAGAAAAGAAATTCATTTGCTTTGGCTTTCACACAGTAATTCATACAGACTATTTTTACCATGTAGAGAATGAAATATCTTCATCCATTCCTTTCAGAATTCTTTGTCTGCTTGTTATGGGACTTGCTGCACCAATATTTTAATCCATGTTTTTAGGGCTTTGTTCTAGGAGATTTCTGTGCTTTACTTTCCCACAGCAGCCGTGCTGCCTGTTCAAGGATGCAGAATTCAAGGTACTGTAATAAAATATTATCTGGTTTCTGAGCATTTAAATAGTAACTGTAAATGTAAATATATTTTTTGACACCTTAAGATGTGACATTTAACCTAAGTGTGGATGGAATGGGATATCACTTTTCAAACTATCTGTAGCAGTAGGGAAGAATTTGACTTTCTGTTAATGTCAAGGTTTATTATTAACGTTTTACTGAGCAGACTTTGATAACATTATACTGAACGCATATTTGAGGGTAAAAGCATGCTACCTTTCAAAGCATGTAAATAAACTTCTACATTCTTTTTGTTGCAGTTTTTGTCCCTTTTGCAGCCATAGTTCCTAGATTTGTTAGTGCAGTAACAGTAACCGTTATTATAGTTTGTGAAGAACTCCTTCTGTATATGTCTGCTCTTGTACAACAACATTTGAAAGGGGCACTCCCCAAATGCGTAAATACCAGTGAAGTGTCCCTTCTCAAATTTTTATTGCTTCAAAATTTGTCTCATTAATGTATGTGTATTTTGCCTAGCCATTTCACTGGCAGTGTGATAGATTCAGGAAATGCAGATGGAGGCTCAGACAGCTGGGGAAAATGTTCAGAGAAGCTGCACTGAGCCTTTCAGGGACATGGCTGCTTGGTTGCTTTGAGGAGAGTGCTTGACTCACAGCAATGTTCTTTGAAAACTACACCTTTTGCTTTGTAAGTCCAAAATCCACAATCTTATTCTTGTTTGGCATCTTGTAATGAACATGATATCAATCTTATTGGATGTCAGTGCAGTAACTTTCTAATTCGATTCTAGAGTTTTAAAGTGCTGGATCTGTCCAATCATCTTTGGGCAGCATGTTTATTGAGATTCTAAATCATCCAGTCATGGTTGATCCAAAGATACTTTTCCAAAAGGCAGCTGAATTTCCTTGGCTTTATTCTTTGAAAATGTTTTCAAAGAAAAGAAAACCAAGAAAGTCCAGATGCTTTTTGGAAAACCTCTTGAGACATCTTTGGGCAGCATTAGGACTGCTGACACTTTCTTTGCCTTTTTCACCAGCTTTCCAGGGGGACCAAATGAAGATGAAGAATATGATTTTTATGCTGCTGGTTTTCCTCTTCTAGCAGAAGATTTCAGTGTTGCACTAGATAAACTTCATGATGCTCATTCACAGGCAGTAGGAGCCCCAAAGGTATGACTCTTAATAAGAACAAGGCAAGGTACGACCCCTAATAAATATAAGAAACTTGCCAAAGTTTACATTCCATCCTGTTTTTGATGAATAACTGTAATAAATGGAGTACTTTTCAAAATAAAATGAAGCTGGAGGGCTTTTGGGCTTTCAGTAACATATTTATAAAACGTCAAGATTATAGTTGCAAAGAGCTAGAAAGAGCAATTTAATCAATTCAATAGCCAATCATAAATTTTAAAAATAAAATGGAGAGTACAACTACAGGAAGAATGGGCAGTTTGCTATAAAATACAGGAAAAAATAAATCAACCACTATCTATAAATTTTCCAACACTTTTTGTTAAAATTTGTTTTAATTTTTGATTTTAAGGAAAGTGCTGGTAAGTGTAATGAATAGGATATTAAAGTCACAGCATGAGAGATCTCATGTAAAAATCATTCTTCAGGGACCTTGAGGCATCTTTCAGAGGCAGAGAGTAGGTTAGTGTGCAATAGCTGTGGTTCTGTAGAAATAAAAATAGTTTCTTATAGTCTTTGAAGGCATCATAACGTTTGATAATTTTGAGGTATATAATAGCATTGGCAAGTTTTGTCTCCTGCAGATTCCCTCTGTCTTCTGGCAAGATATTGGAGGGCTTCAGAATGTGAAAAAGGAAATCCTGGACACCATTCAACTTCCATTAGAACACCCAGAGTTATTGTCTTTAGGCCTTCACCGCTCTGGCCTTCTGCTCTATGGTCCTCCTGGAACAGGGAAGACATTACTAGCTAAAGCAGTAGCAACAGAATGTACCATGACTTTCCTCAGGTGGGTTTTCTGATACAAATGGACAGGAGAGTTTGGAAATTGGACTATTGGAATAACTAACCCTGTATTTTTTCATTTCAGTGTAAAGGGTCCTGAACTTATTAGCATGTATGTTGGGCAGAGTGAAGAGAATGTCCGTGAAGGTTAGTGTGAAGTCATAGTGTTTACATGGAAGGCTTAGTCTGTGGTGAAGCTTCTTTTATAGCCAAGCTGACATAGAAAATGATTCTTGCAAATCATTCCAACCTGAAACAATGTCCATATCTTTGTGGCTACTGCATTTATGCATGTATATAATCTTACAGGTGTGTACATATATCCAAATTTTGGAACTATAGTAGTCTTTCCCAGCAGTAAAGGTAGATCATATTCTGTACTCCAGCAAGTCAGCAAATGGGGTAAATAGTTTTTTCAGAGGAAAAAATAGATTTCAAGACCATTCAAGATTTCAAAACTATTCAAGAAGAATCATTACACATTTTATTTTATGGAAAAAATGTTTAGCTAACATACTTTTCTATGCAGGTCATTAGTAACTAGAGATGGGAATAACATGAGACTTTATTATCTGCTAAATAAAGAGCATGGAGAGCTCCAGGTACATGGTGAGGTAGAGTTTGAGAGGTTGGACAGTGGAAAGCTTAAGAGTTGGTGGCCCAGAGTGCATTATAAGAGACTTGAAAAATATATACATGATGTAATCTATGGTTTCATAGTTTTTTTAGTCTTGTCTTAACTGAGCAATGCAAATTTCCAAGTCAAGCAGTCCAAAGCCAAGCCAAAGATTTCCAGATCAAGGGGTCATGGTTAGTAACAAGCCAGGATGGCATATAGCTAGATTCCAAGTGTCACAATGCTGGAGTTGCTTCTAGCAAAAGATCATTGTTTGTTTGCACTTAAAAACTCTCTCTGCTGGGTACATACAACTATGATCAAACCTTCTTGGTAAGTTCAGCTTATTGCTGCTTGCTTATTAGTCATACGCTTTGGCAAGGTGCAGCAATGCTAGGAGGAATAGCTGGGGGGGGCAGGAAACAAGTGAGTGCCTGTAGCAGCCTACATTGCAGATGAGTCAGGCACAAGGATATGACATACATGAGCATACTGTAATGGTATAATGGGAATGATCTTGAGGAGTTCTATTTTATTGTAAGATTACATTAACAGAATTTTTCAGGTTTGAGAGTACAATTCTCCTGCAGGTTCTTTTTACAGCCTTAGCAATTAGGGTGGATCCTTCCTTTCCATGTAGGCCGTGTAGGCACAATATGATCCAAGGTCCCAAACACCCACCAATTCCATGCAACAAATAGGGCCTTGGCTGAACACACCCATACCCACCCCACTTAGATCTTTGGGAAACACTCCAAGCTCTCTGTGGAACATGTTTGGGTCCATCAGTCATCTGAGGTGGGCCAATCGAAGAGGCCTGTCTTCATGTTGGTTTAATTTAAAGAAGACAAGTTGCTCTATTTTTCAGACATTCTGTGGCCAACTCTGATCTTCCCATGCTTACAATCACAGCATGTGTCCTAATACGCATCTCTCCCTGGGAGGCAGTCTAGCTTATTAATATGTTTGTTGCTGGCTTTAATGTGAATATGCAACTTGAGTACTATCTATCTCTTTCCTCAGTGTTTGCCAGAGCTAGGGCAGCTGCTCCCTGCATTATCTTTTTTGATGAGCTTGATTCATTGGCCCCCAGTCGTGGACGAAGTGGCGATTCACAGGGTGTGATGGACAGGCAAGTACTGCTTGTTAATAATGAGGTATTAGCTTCCTGTTTTGACTTGCTCAGTACTGATTTTACAAGTGACTTGCTTTGTGAAAACATTAAAAAATTCACACATGCACAAAGCATTTCCCTATCTGCATTCAGTAGTGTTCTTGGCAAGCAATCCATAAAAAATGGTCCTTGCATCCTCCCCCTCCTTTAATTGTACATGCTAAAAGTGCAGGGATATCTATTTTATTATGCACATATCATTTGTGCCTGAACTTAGTTCTAGATCATGTGAACATGTTAAAATGTGTTGAAATGTATTCATCTTTCTTTCTACCAAATGCTGGCCTCCAATGGGGTTGCAATTAATACCTGTATTATAGCCTGTTTAATAAATAGCAGATTTAGCAGCAAAGAATAAATATTACAAAACTTGTAAATATTTAAGCTTCACTGAAATAAATTTGGCTCTTCCAAAACCAGTTTTAATAGCTAGACATCCATATTCTGAACCAATTTCCTTTCTCCAATCAGTACAGGTAGTCCTTGAGTTATTAATGTAATGGCGTCCGCCAATTCCATTCATAACTTGAAAACTCGGAGTGAATTTCATCCCTCAAACAAGATCACTCCCTGTTCATTAAGATGCATGCGGCTCATTAAGTGAACTTGAGGTATCTCGATGGGGAAGGCCATGGAGGGCCTGGAAAAGGCCTCCAATGCCCAGATCAGGCCTCTGGAGGGACATGGAATTGTCCCTCCGGCCTCAGATCCAGGCAACAGTGGCTTGGAAAAGGCCTCCGACGCCCAAATCCAGCCCTGGAGGCATGCAGAAGCATCCCCTGGCCTCAGATCCAGGCTGCAGCAGCTTGGAAAAGGCCTCCGATGCCCAGATCCAGCCTTCGGAGGCATGCGGAAACATCCCCCGGTCTTAGATCCAGGCAGCAGTGGCTTGGAAAAGGCCTCCGACACCCAGATCCAGCCTCTGGAGGCACATGGAAGTGTCTCCTGGCCTCAGATTCAGGCGGCAGCGGCTTGGAAAAGGCCTCCAACGGTGGAATCCAGCCTCCGGAGGCATTCAGAAACATCCCCTGGCCTAAGATCTGGGCAGCAAAGGCTTGGAAAAGGCCTCTGATGCCCGGATCCAGCTTCCGGAGGAAGCGGAAGCATCCCTTGGCTTCGGTTCTGTTCTCTGTTGCAGAGAACAGAGGCCTAAAGTACCATGAGATCACGCGAGATCAGTAGCGTGAGATATCGCACCACTGATGTCATGTGATATTGCATTACTTTAGGCCTCCCTTCTCTGCGAATGCACCAAAGGCCTGGAGCAACCAAGAAAGCAAAGGGAGACCCGGGGCAGGTGGGGGAAGGGAGGGGAATGACCAGAGTGAATATTGCAGTGCCACTGCAGTCATTCGTAAGGGCGAACGACTGCCATGGTGCAGCAACATTCGTAATTTCAGGACCTGCTCATAAGCACTAGGGGGTGCTTATCGCATAACTTCGAACAATCACTAAGGGAACGTTGGCAACTCTGGGATCACCTGTATTGGTTGGTGCATACATTATTCATACGTATAATGTAATACCTGACAACTGTTAAGCTGGGCATTTGTAAGAATGCTATAATGCATGTTCACATCTCACTTTTTGGGTATCTTGATGCATAGAAACATTGATCTCCAGGATTTCTCAATTCACCTCCAAACATTAACAGAATTATTTCAAGTTAATTCTTGGCTGCTGTTTGAAAGAGAACGTAGACATTGCAAAATAATGTGCAGGGATGATTATTAGGATAGTTTCCTATGAATTTTTATACAGACCAGAGCCAGCCTGGAGTCCCAAGCTATATGCAGCCAATGAATACACTCTTTATATTCTTAATTCCTGCTCTGATCACAGAGATACAGAGTTTGTAGAGTCACTTTATTTCACAGATAATCCTTGTTTAATCACCATGTGTCAATGACTATCTGAAGTTATGATGGTGTTGAACAAATGGTAGTTACGACCCTCGAAATTATGCCTGTTGCAGCCTCCTCATAGTCACATCATGAAAATTTGGGCACTTGGCAACTGGCTACATTTATGACCACAGCGTGTACTTCAACTCCCCTACTCACGTATCTCCCTCCAAGTCTACCCCCTTGGTATTCTACCACTATTGCCTACCCCTTCCACACCTCACCACCCCCAGCTGACCTTCATTGTCTTCTTCCTCTCACTGCAGGCCCAGGAGCTAGGCAATTGGTTGATGGTGCTGACACCTTGGCTTGGCGAGCCAGTGCTCAAACCATCACCCTGCCTCCTCCTCAGCCAGGCTCAGCAAGCTCTCTTTGGCAGATGAGGTTTCACCACGCTGTTCCATTTGTCACATACGTCCCAGGGCCCCACCCTCGGGCTGTGCCTTGATCCAACAGTGGGACGAAGATGGTGAAGGTCAGCTGAAGACAGCAAGGGTAAGGGGAGCTTTATCTACCGAAGGGAGCTTGCTGAGCCTAGCTGGAGATGACCATGGGTGGAGCAGGCATTTCGCGCAGGGCAGAAGCAGGAGGTACTCCCCAACAACCAAAACTAAGACTATTGAAACTTACGTCACTAACTGCTGCTGTCACATGATGTTTCAGCTAACCACTTTACTTAGAAACGGAAATTCCCTGTCCCAATTAGTTATTAAGCGAGGACTATTTGTACCATTGTATTTTAGTAATCTTGTGTATTGCTGTATCCTTGTAAACTACCTTGATATATATTAAATAAACGGTATACAGTGCTTTGTATAAATATATCTTACCTATATGAATTGCTTTTGAGGGCATGGTATTGTATGTGTTCATAGTATACATCTGTTACTACTATTATATTTTGGACCTGGCTGGGTACATGCCTAAACAAGGTATTTGTGTACCTGCTGTTTTTACCCAGTTCAGTGAATCCACAAAGATTGATGGCAGCATATTAAAATGTTTTCCCTTGATAGAGTTGTATCTCAGTTACTAGCAGAACTGGATGGGCTTCATTCTTCTCAAGATGTATTTGTTATTGGAGCTACAAACAGACCTGATCTGCTGGATTCAGCTTTACTCAGGCCAGGCAGGTAAAGGTTCATATCACAATTTTCTCCATCTGCTACGATTCTTTGGAAATCTTTTAAGAGTATTTTGGGTAAAACTAGATGAACATAGGATTCAACTTACCTTTTTCATTATACTTAAATGTTGGTGTTCTTGTATGAAAAAACGTAAGGTTGGGATAATATTCCTACCCCCTTAGATCTGCAAACAGAGCATCTTAACTGCCCAAAAAGGCTAAAAATTGAGATGCTTCCTTTAGAAAAAAATTATTATTTTGTTGGATGAGTTAATAAAATAAATAAACTGCTATAATGGGGTGTTTTTTTCTAAGATTAGGTTAACTCTGAGATACTTTGGGAATCCTGTGTTCCATTGGTAGAAGGGTGACTATATATAAATGTTTTAAATAAATAAATATTAACACAATATATAAATACACTTGGCGATGCAGGAGGTCGGTTTATATTAGGAAACTGTAAAGATTTATTTGGGATGCTGGAATAATATTGACAACGGAAAATCTTATTGTATTATAGCAATTCTGTTTCATGTTTAATATATACAAAGATTTTATAGAAATGAAGCACGTGAAGTTGTACAATTCATACTAATATATTGAATAAAAACCAGTAAATCAAACTAAGGTCAAATTGTTAGATGATGGGTATTATATGATCAGAGTGTTATATGGAAGATGGCTGCTTTATTTTAATTGCAAAAAATATTTTTTGTATCCCTGGCAGGTTTGATAAATTGGTTTATGTAGGAATAAATGAAGACCGAGATTCTCAGCTGCAAGTACTGAGTGCCATCACCAGAAAGTAAGTGCCTGTTTTTGGTTATTATAATGCATAACAGTACCAATTACAATTCTTGAGAAAAAAAATGCATATTTTACTAATTATTGTAACTGAACTACATATTCAGCTGTTAAAGATAAATCTGCTAAGAGTAGTACTACCCTCAATATATTTTTATATCAGTATATGCATAATCCATGTGCATGGATTAAATGCTATGAAACTTGTTTTTGAGGATTGTGAATAAATTATACTTATGAACATTATTTTCTGCCTGCTCTGACTTATGGGTTTAACTCATTCCATATTATTTTAAGTAAAGCACAACATGTAAAAAATGTTATACGTATGAAGCCATGTTTTTATAAAACATTTCTGCCCAATTTCCAAGATTATATTCTGATTGCATTTTTTTCCCTATGACACTAAAACCTTTGGCAATATCCTTTTGTTATAGGTTTAAAATGGACCCATCTGTGAATTTTCTTAATGTCCTAGAGAAATGCCCTGCACAGTTAACAGGAGCAGACCTGTATGCACTCTGCTCAGATGCAATGATGTTTGCTATCAGAAGAAAAGTGGAATGGATAGAAGACGGTAAGGAACAAAGCTAGATGGCTCAAATGCAAATTAGCTCTACTTAAAACGCATACTAAAAGACCTGGCTATTCCTCATGGAATGTAGGTTGGGAGTTTCATTAAACTCTGCTGGCTGATGTTTTATTATAAATTGGAATGTGGAGTTTTTTGCAATCTCAAACATTTATCACTTGGATTATTATTTTATTTGTTGGTTATAACACTGCCCAAAATTGTGGCTGTGAGATGGGCAGCCATGTAAATCAAATACTTTTTTTGAAAGTAGAAAAAAATCCTCCATTATTGAGTAATAGACCAGAAAATTGGATTGTGCTTTAGTTCCAAATAAATGCTTGAAACAAGCTGGAAAACTATTATTAGAAATTAGGAGAACGTGTAATTGGTTCTCTGATACATATGGAGGCTGGCAGGTAGAAGCAGGCAATACACTTTAATTTTTGAGGCTTTGAAGAACAAATGTATTTTATCATAATCCATTATTTCTGGGCTGTAGCATATTTATTGGTTCGCTTTCATTACCGTATATTTTTCTATCACTACTAGTGCTGCAGGTTAAACTTTTACTAATCTTTTTTTTTTTTTTTATTGAAAATTTTTAAATTTTACAAAAACAAATCCCCTTCCCATACCCCCCCCAACCCTACCTCACCCCCCTCCTACCCAACCTCCCAAACCCTCCCCTGGACTTCCCAGAGCTGAATACAGGCTTAATTGAGAAAAAAAAAACTTAAAACACTTTTAAAACCTAAACAAATTTAAATACAATCATCATTCTATATAAACTCCCTCCAAAAACGCAAATTTAAACATTACTTTCTTTGAATATCTATACCTATAATGTAAAATCTAATTTCTCCCTCTTTCTTTATCCTAATACAAAAAAATAAATATATAAACCTTTGTTATACCATCAAAACTAAATACTCTTAGAAAACTTAAAGTAAATACATATTTCCTTCAATCTTCATAATCTTCTCACCTATCCAAAAAAAAAACTTAAAAATCCTAAACAAATCTAGACACATTTAGTTAAACAAATTATTTTCTCTTAAAGATATTAATAATATTTAAAAACTTGAAACACTTTTGAATCCTAAACAAATCTAAATACAATCATCATTCTATATAAACTTCCTCCAAAAACACAGATTTAAGCATTACTTTCTCTCCTAAACAAATCTAGACATTTAATTAAACAAATTATTTTCTCTTAGAAATATTAATAATAATATTTAAAAACCAAATTTAAGCTTTACTTGGAACTTAAACAAATTATACTCCCTTCAAAACACAAATTTATTAGAATCCCCTCACTTTCCAAAAACGATATAAGTTTTACTTCTCCCACAATCTCAATAGTAAACTTCTTGTCTAAAATTCTCATTCAATGTCCATAATTTTCCAATAACCAGTTGCACCCACTATAAACACAAACTTCTTATCTAAAATTTTCATTCAATATCCATAATCTTCTGTCTAATAGCCAGTTGCATCTACTATAAGCACAATCCATATCAGTCTCTCTTGCCCGCAAGCATCGAAAAAAATGCGTGGAATTCTGCCCTTGAAGATCGCTCCAAAGAGTTTGTAAGTCCTGATTGACCCACCAGCTCAGGAATCAGTACCTGTGAAACTTCCTCAACCTCCTTCTTCTGTTGGTCTTTCTCTTTACATTTATATGTTACTTTTTCTTTACATTTATATGTTGCACAAGTCTCAGGGACCGATAAACTTTTACTAATCTTTTAAAGGCTTCTGATTTACCTGTGACTTAAGCATGAGCAAAGAGAAAATGTTTAGTTCAGCATTATATTGTGTGTGTGTGTGTGTGTGTGTGTATGTGCGTGTGTGTGTGTGTATAGCAAAAAGAAATCTGAATTTGTAATGTCAATGGTATGCCAGCAACCAGTCCGCACAAACAAGCAAAGCCCCATCTGAGATGCAGGCAGCACACAAAACCACACACCCTCTGGTCGATGGAAAAACCTCTCTCCATGGAACCGGTCCCTGATGCCCAAAAGGTTGGGAACCTCTGCACCATATTATATGTCCAAAAGGATTTTAATTCAAACCATTTTACTTTTATTCCAGGTCTGGATACTGAAAGCTCAGAATTCACCCTTACCATGGAGGATTTTATACAAGCTGCAACAAGGTTACAGCCTTCTGTTTCTGAGATGGAGCTGCTTAGATATAAATTGATCCAGCAAAAAAATGCTGCTTGATTTGAAACAAATATGACCAAGAAAGAAATATCCATATAACCCCAGAAGTACAAAATAAAAGCTACCATGAGAATATTGTTCTTGTTAAAAGAAATAGTGATGACTCAAGTCACAATCTGGTGGATTCATATGAGTTAGAAAAATGAGTTCAAGGCGTAGACCCGAGACTGAAGTTCAGATGTGCAGGATGTGTAGCAAATTAATCTTCATTCATACTTGGGACCGTTGCATCTATAAAGTGATCAACATCAGAAGGTGATCAACATCAGATGGGAAATCTTAGGCCCCTAATAACCTGAGCTTTTGAATTATGAGAGAAATGATTGTAAGTATTTAAAGATATCTAAATAAAGGCTGCTTTGCTTTATCTGGAAAACAAAAATGCTATCTAATTCACTGAGAATCTATCATTTCTCATAAATGTGAAATACAATATGTATGGGTGTGTGTTTTCTTTCTGGGTTTAAAATGGAGAGAATAGTGGCTCTAGGACAGCAACTGATAAAATATGATTGTAATGGTTTCTTGCAGCTGGTCTTACTCAAATGCTGGCTCCTCTCTGAAGTAGCTTTGAGAATTTTCTAACCTTTGGAAACCTCTGGAAAATCAGAGCAAGAAATTTGGAATTCAGGCAACCCTACATATATTAATTTTAAAATTGTCAATCTAAAATGAAATCATAGTTCTCTGCCACCTATTCCCATCACTACTGAGCTGTGCAAAAATAAATGATGACTTTGCTCTTATTGAGGAACTTTTTAAAAAAGTCTCTTCTCTTATTGTAAAAATAATTCTCATTATTTTACAGATGCAGCAGCAAAAGATAGAAACACACAGAAATGCTTACAGCAATGGACAGTAATAGTGTAAAGGCAGAAAATAAATTTATTTTGAAATTATCTCACAAGTTGTTGGAAATACACGCCGGTCATCGGTCCTGATCAGCTCCAGCTAGTATAGGCAGTGAGGAGTATAACTTAAACTGAAGGGGCACCGATTCCCCAGGCACAATAAAGAATGAAATAAGGTTTTTTTGTCCCCCTTGTTCCTTTCTTCCCAGCCTTTCTTCCCTTGAAGAAAAACTGCATCACTGTAATCATTAGTCTAACCTAGGTGTAAATTAGCCAGGCATTTCCAGCAAAAAGAGGAAGAAAGTATCAAGAGAGAACAATGTACATTTTAGCCAACTGTGCAACTGAGACTGAGATGCAAAGCAATCTTATCCCACCTCCTTCCCTCCAATGCCATTAAGCATTTCAATCCTCAAAGTGTATTAATCACACTGGACTCTTGGGGAAAATTTTGGTTTATATAATACCATGCATATTTATTCTTGCTTATACAAGTTCTGCACCTTGTCACCCATTGAAAAGACCCCATATGACCACTAGACTAGTCTGTTGACTAGATCTCAGCCAGTTTTCTTCACTACATGGATGAAATAGCATGGGCCAGGCTTCTGGCCTAGTGTGTAAGGCTTGAAGTCTCCCAGGACTGTGTGTTCACATTGGCCTTGAAATGCATTTTTCAATAGTTCTGTGAAAGGCTCCAGACGATGAGGATAATAAGAAAGACGGAACTGACTGATAAAAGAGAAAATTTGTGTTAATATCTAAGTAACAAAAGCATGAAGATATTAATACAGCAATGTAAGGAACTTGGCTATCTCTCTTTCCACTTGTTCAGAAAGATTAATTTATCCATGATCCTTTGAGGATTCTAGTCAAAAAGAATGCTGCAAATCAAAATTACTGTACTTTGAGATGGTTTTTAATTAAGAAAACAATACTTTTTATTAAGTATGGAATCTTATTCTCTGCTTGTATCAGTAGAAATCAAGAAATATTAACTTACATACCAGAAGGTCCAAACTCAATGTATATATGTTGTTTCATAAGATTAGGTAGAGTTAATCTGTTAATTTGATGGTTTTAGAGGTGACCAGATCTCTGAGGCCCTCTCATGGATAGGTACAGTATAGTATGTAAAGTAATTAAAAGACCTAGCTGTTTCCCAGGCATTGAGTCAGGCAGGTAGATGAGCCCTTTTTATTGATGTGAGATTATTATTTATCCTATGGCACTGGGAGTTTATGTGTGGTGGATTTTCTGTTTTAATCTTTATTAGATGCCCAGATTCACTTGTATGAGATCAGTAGCTCTGCAAATTAAACACCTTGTTTGTTTCCCTGAAAATAAGCTCTACCCCGAAAATAAGCCCTAGCTTGTTTTTGGGGGATAGGCCTAATATAAGCCTTACCCCGAAAATAAGCCTTAGTTTTGAGGTGAGGCACACGTTTAAAAATCAAGTTAAGGTGGGGGCAGGGGGTGGAGCTGTCCCACGCGCCCTGCACCTGCTTACCTTACTGGTAGGACTGCCATAGGCAAGCCTCCCATGCCCTGAAACTTGTCGTGTCGCATGGCTCATTGCACCATTGCTGCTGGTCACGGGAGGAGGTTGTGCAGCGCTTCGGGCCATTGCTGCCGCTCACGGCCGGATGCCATGTGATGCTTTGGACCATTTGTAGGAGGCCACAAGGTGCATCGGGCTGTTGCTGCAGTCACGGCAGCACACTGCAGGATCCTGCCATGAGTGGCACCAACGACCCAAAGCACAATGCGACCTCCTGCAAATGGCTCAAAGCACTGTGCAGCCTCCTGCCGCAACTGGCAGTACTGGCATGAAGCACCATGCGGTGTCCTGCCACAACTGGCGACACTGGTGCAATGCGCCACGGTGTCTGGATGCAAGTGGTGGCAAGTGGCAGCAGCGCGACAGGTGTCGTGCCTCTTTTTGAGGCAAAAAAAAAAAGTAAGACCAGGACTTATTTTCAGGGAAACACAGTAAATAAATGCTCTAACCTGTTTGCTCTAACCCTATGCCAAATGGTTAGTTGTGCTAAACCTGGTTATCAGTGGAGATGCAATAATCATGGGTTCTAAGAGAACATACCTTAAGTCTGAATCTCCATCACTGCCTTGATGTGGGATCTGTACCGTGTAGTCCAATGTCACCATATTTGGTTTGTTATTCACAAGGAGAACCGAGGTAGTAATGTCCTTGGTTAAATCACTCTTGAGAAAGAAAGATACAGGAAATAATTAGTTATCTATGTTTATGTTTTTCTGCATTTGTTTCTCGGTGGCTTGTTCACTATGTTAAGCCAGCTCAGATTGCAGAACAACACTGGTGCCATTTATATCCTACTTTTCTCTCTATTCTGTTTAAGTAAAAAGACAAATTCGTGACATTGCTTGTTCCTCTTCCTTCTAATTGTATCATAATATGCACTCTGCCTATAGGCAGTTGATTACTTATTGCTCAACTATACTTGTGCTATTTTTAATTAACATTCCTCTGGAGAAAAAAGTACTATGTGTTGTAGTTGTAGTATAGTAGTAATAATAGCACAATGCTGCTATAGAAAAGTGGTGGCTGGAGATTCTCAATTTTGATCTTTGCATTGCCAACAGGCTTATATTAGGGATCAGCCTCAACAACGTCGACTAACATTTTATGGTTGGAGCCAAATATCTAATTCCAATCTCTAAAGCTCATGACTGGGATGAGAGATTTTTTACTGTCTATTAGATTCACGCCTTCATGAGCCCTGTAATAACCTTGCTATCTACATTTGACTCTACAATGTTCTCAGTTGAGCAGCTTCATATGTGATGGTATGGATATATTGAGATCTCAATGTTTGGAAGGGATATGAGACTAGAAAACTATTAGCTAATAATTTAATTAGCAATTAAAAAGAATATATATCCTATACGAAAAAGCTTCCTATACAGGTAATCCCCGAGTTATGAGCGTTCACTTAACGCCTGTTCAAAGTTATGTGATGAGCGCCCCCTAGTTTTACGAGCAAGTCCCGAAGTTATGATTATTGCAGCACCATGGCAGTTGTTCGCCCTTACGAGCGACTGCAGTGGTTCTACAACATTCACCCTTGTTATTCCACCCCTGCCCCGGGTCTCCCTAGGCACCAGGCCTTCAATACTCACCCTGCAAAGATTGAGATCCTTCGCTTTCTTGGATGCTCCAGACCTTCGGTGCATTTGCAGAGAATGGAGGCCTAAAGTAACGCAAGATCATGCGAGATCAGTGGGGTGAGATCACACGCTACTGATCTCACATGATCTCATGGTACTTTAGGCCTCTGTTCTCTGCAACGGAGAATAGAACCGAAGCTGGGGGACGCTTCCATGTGCCTCCGGAGGCTGGATCAGGGCTCCAGAGGCCTTTTTCAGGCTGCTGCGGCCCAGATCTAAGGCCAGGGGAGACTTCTGCGTTCCCCCTGCAGCTCAATCCAGCCTCCAGAGGCTTTTCCAGGCTGCTGCTGCCTGGATTTGAGTCTGGGGTGTGTGTGTGCGCAGTAGTATTTCCCCGCCTCAAATCCGGTCGGCAGCAGGAACCACAGCACAGAGGAGACGGATCTTTTCCAGGTGAGTCTGGCACGGCAGGAAGGGAAGGGGAAGCATGCGGTATCTTAGTGGGTCGTGGAGGCCTTGGGGGCCTGTTCCAGCACCAGGCCCTCCATGGCCTTCCCCACCCTGAGATACCTCATATTTGCTTAATGAGCTGTGTGCGTTATAACAAGCAAGGAAGTGATCTCGTACCTCGAACGAGATTCACTTGAGTTTTCGAGTTACAAGTGGAATGGGCAGGCTCCATTACACTCGTAACTTGAGGACTACCTGTATGTCTATTCCAATGCTATCTATTCGGATGCAGCAGTGCTTTGATGTCACAGAAGTCCATGTTCAGATGCTTTTAATTGGAGACTACAATATATGCTCTGCTAACTAATTATTCCCACCCAGCTCTGAAAAAATAGTGAAGAATTAACAGGTTAAACAGAATCTCTGGAAGCAACACGGGCAGATTTCCTTCTCCATCTCTCTTGCAATATTATGAATACTAGACTATCTAAACTAAGTCAGATAGCTTGATGTGGTCTGATTCTGCCTGACAGATTTCCTTTATATCTACCTGAAAAGTATTTTTAAAGGGTTACATTGAAATAAATGGCACTGTACTATAAAAGGTTACCTTACTATTATAATTAGCTCTGATAAGCTATAAAAATGTTTTTGCTGTTTTAAGATGTTTTAACATCACTGTCACAAAAGGTTAGGCAGAGTTCATTTCCAGCATTACCTTGTAGTAGATATTCTTCCCAGGAGGGGCGCAACCTGTTTCCAAGATGTAGTCGTAATTACGGTGATCAATGACAAGAATGCCACCTGGACGGACCATGCTGGCAATATTCCTAAGAGCCTGTTTATGAACACCCTGGTCACCTAGGGATGGATACAAAATTTGAATTAATTTTTTTCCTGTTCCCTTTAGATTGCTGTTTCCCTTTAAACCAGGGAAACCTCTGGCTATCCTGGGCGTTTTTGTTTGTTGATTAACAAAGTAATAAC